GAGCAGCCTGCAGCAAGCAAACATTTCGCGCCAAACCAGCGCTTGGGAACGGCTCTGGAGTGGAGTCTCCCGAGGCACAGCCGGCCGGGTACTCGATCGAGGCCGAGCGGGCAGCGGGGAGGGGGAGGGGGAGGGGGAAAGTAGAGAGAGAGAGAGAGAAGGAAGAGGAGAAGGAAGGAGCAGGAGGGAGGAAGAAGGAAGAGGAGGAGGGAGCAGGAGAAGGAAAAGGAGGAAGGAAGAGCGGGGATGGGGAGAGCAGGAGAAAGAAGATGAGCAGGGAGGAAGACAAGGTGCCCGTGTGGACCGCTGGCCGAACGGCTGGTCTCCCCCGCCCCTTGTCACCGCCACGGGGGCCGACCAGACGGCTTGGCCGACGGACGTGCCAGACGCGGCCCGGGGCCAGGGAGAGGAGGGCGAGGGCGAGGAGGGACAAGGGAGGGAGTAGAGAGCAGGGAGAGAGGAGGGAGAGAGGGGGGAGGGGGAAGACGAGCATGGAGAAGGAAACCGGGAAGGGGCGGGATGAGGGGAAATAGAACCCGCAGGGGGGAGCGGGGCGAGGACGAGGTCGAGGACGACGACGAGGACGAGGACGAGGACGACGACGACGACGACGACGCCGAAGCCAACGGCGACACCGACATCGACGACGACGGCTCCGACGACGCCGACAGCGGCGACGACGGCGGAGGTCTGGGACACCGCCCCCGATGGCGAAACCGCACGCTCTTGTCATTGCACTGGCCTTGCAGACGTGCTGCAGCGGACTTCTACGTGGATTTCTGCCCGAAGCGGCGAGCGAAGAACGAAATGAATTTCGCGTGGCTTCTTTTTACTCTTCCTTCCTGGCCAAACAAAATCCGCACGAAATTCGCCTCGAAATCCGGAAGGAGATTCTCCAGGACATCCTGGGCCCACCCCGTCGCGTTCCGAACGAGATCCGCTCTGCGATGTTGGCGCCAGGACTCTTGGTCGGGGTGGGCTATCAGGCCCCCATCGACAGTAAAGCGGCGACGGACGTGACGGGCGGCCGCCCTCGGCCAGGCCGGGCCGTGGCGGCGGCCCCAGGGGAGCGGCCCAGGCAGGCTGGTGGGCTCGTTGTCCACCACCACTACCACAAGTAGGAGGGGGAGGAGGTCCTCCTCCTCCTCCCCTCCCTCCCCCTCCTCCTCCTCCTCCTCCTCCTCCTCCTCCTCCTCCTCCCCCTCCTCCTCCTCCTCCTCCTCCTCCTCATTCCCTCCTCCCTTCCTCCTCCTCCTTTTCCTCTTATACCCTCCTCCATCCCTCTCTCCCTCCTCCTCCTCCTCATGCCTCCTTCCTCCCCCCTCCTTCCTCTCTCCTACCCTCCTACTCCCTCCCTCCTCCTACTCTCTCTCCTCCTTCCTTCCATTTCCCTCTCCCAACTTATTTTAGGGTGGTTGGTGGTGTTGGGGAAACCAAGGCCATCAAGGGGCGCGCGGGGAGGGGATTTTTTTTTTCAGGGGGGTGGCAGCGCCTGGCGGCCTCGATGGGGCTCGCGTCCTGGCGGCGGGCCGAGGGTCCGCAGGCCGAAGCGTCTGGGCGCCCCGGCCCCCCTCGGGCAGTGCCCATCGGGGGCGCGCAAACATGGACTAGCGATCCATGGATTTGGCGCGCAGTCGCCAAATCCATGGATCGGGGGAGGTGCCCTTCTCAAAATGCAGCCGCGCCGCCTCGTTCGGCGGCGGAAATCCGCGATTTCCCACGGAAACGGGACCCGCCACTAATCCACGCTCCCTTGATCCATGTTTGCGATCGCCTGATTCGGGCAGCGCCGAGGGGGGCTGACCCCCTGCGGTGTCGACCTCCCTTGGCACTGCGCCCGACTCTGTTTGGGACCCAGGATGCCTCCACAGAGGCCTCTCAGAACCTCGCATGGGCGCCTCGCCCATGAACGCCCATTTGATGCTAAATCGTGCGCAGGATTATTTTGTGGGCGGTCCTCAAGAAGCAAGAACCGCACCAATCTTTTCGGAAAACGTATAATTTGAGCATGTTCGCACTTTTCCCAAGACGGCCAAAGAGAGACCCAACAAGGCCCCAAGAAGGGCCCAGGAGAGGCAACGCGAACTGTCATGTCGGGCCCTCCGCCCCAAGAGGACCCCCGAGACCGCCAGCAGGCGCCAGGAAACTCCAGAGAGGCCCGAAGAGACCCCCAAGAGGCCCCCAAGAGGGCCCCCAAGAAGCAAGGCCTCACCCATGGACTTCATCCCTCTTCCGTTTGTCGGCGGAATTGCGTAAGCCTCTTACATTCACGTCTGGAGGTGACGTACTGAGCGGCAGCGTCTGTCGGTGAACTCAGTAATGCATGTTATCCAATGCATATCATGATTGCGTAATTGCAACATCTTGTACTGTGCAACATTATTGTGACTCCCCTAGCCCCCCCTGGAGTTGCGCCACATGCGCGTACCGATCTTGCGACTCTCATTCTGGGGCTGAAGGACGCACCAGCAAAGCGTAGAAACTTGAACAGATCGGCATCTTGGGCCTCCTGGGGGCCAACGAGGGCCTCAAGGCGGCTCACGATTGTCTCGAGACAGGCCAAGACGGCCCGAAGATGGCCCAAGCCCGAGGAGGGCCCAAAAGGCCTCCAAGGCAGCCCCACGGGCCCCCAAGGAGCCCCAAAGAGCAACTCCAAAGGCCCAAAATACTGATGTTCCGTAGGATGTGGACGGATTGTAGCGTTCTCGCCTTTTCCGGGGGCCCATGACGGCCCAAGCAGCCTCCAAGATGGTCCCAAGACGGCCCCAGAGGCCCCGAAGAGGGCCCGGACATTGCCCAAGAGGGCCCCTTTCTATGACTGGCAGAGCAGCGAAAAACAGTGGCAATATAATATGTCTGCCTCTTGGGCCTCTTGGGAGTCCTAGAGAGCCTCAAGATGGCTCAAGATGGCATCGAAACCAGCCAAGACGGCCCACAAACAACCCAAGATGGCCCCAAGAGGGCCCATGAGGCCCCCTAAACAACTCAAGAGAGCCCCAAGAAGATCCCAGAGAGCGCCTCCAGATACCAAAATCATTGATTGTCCATCAGTTGTTTGAACATATTCTAGCGCTCTCGGATGTTTTGGGCTCTCAGAGGTCCATGACGGCCCAAGCAGACTCCAAAATTATTCCGAAACGGCCCAAAGAGCCCCCAAGAGGGCCGCGATATGGCCCAAGAGGGCCCCAAGAAGTCCTAAAGAGGCCCCCAAGACGGTACAAAAGGCCCCCAAGACGGCCCAAGACGGCCAAAGAGGACCCTCAAGAGAGCTCCAAAGCGGCCGCGAGAGGCCCACAGGATGGCCTCCGAAGGGGCCAAACGGCGCAAGAGCGCCCCAGGAAGGCCCAAGATGCCCCCAAGAGGCTCAAACAAGCCCCCAAGAGGCCCCAAGACGCCCCCAAGAGGCCTCCAAGAGCCTCCAAGGAGGCTCCCACCAGGCCCCGCAACGACTGGACTGTACGTGCTCTGGACGTGCACCCCGCGAAGCGAGAGGAATCATTGAATTCCTCATGTGTTTAGGTCGGGCGCGTCCCCCTACAGGCGAATTTTGGACGAAAAAATAAGAATGGTCAACAAATATTCCTAAATAGCAAGAAATAATCAAACAAAAATCGTCCCCATACTAATGTTTGACTATTTTTGAGCATTCCTCCTGTAGAGGGACACGCCCGACTTAACCCTATGTGTGCTTGCATGAGCTGCGCAGTCTCGCCATGTTGGGGGTCTGAACACCAGGACGACCCGACGAGCCCAGGTCGGCCCCAGACAGCCGAAGAGACCTCGAACAGGACCCAGGGATGGCCCAAGAGGGTCCTCAAGAGGGCCCCAGACCCAAGAGGGGTCTGAGAGGCCCAAGAGCCCAAGAGGCCACCAAGAACCCTTAAAATGGCCCCAACAAAAACCCGAATAATGCTGAAAAGGCTCCCAGAAGGTCGCCCTCGAAGCCTGCAAGAGACAGCCAAGAAACCCCGCAACAGACGCAGAGGAGGTTGTTACGTATTGTTACGGGAAGGAGCAAAGGATGCCACAGGACTCCTCCTCCTGCTCTTCTTCCTCCTCCTCCTTCTTCCGCCTTCTCCCTCTCATCCTGAAACCTCATCCACCTCCTCCTCCTCCGGTCCCTCTTCTCATCCTCCTCGCTCTCCATCTCCCTCTTCTCTCTCCTCCTCCTCCTTCTCCTCCTCCTCCTCCTGCTCCTGCTCCTCCTCCTCCTCCTCCTGCTCCTCCTTCTCCTCCTCCTCCTCTTCCTCCTCCTCCCCCCGTCCCGCCTCCTACTCCTCCTCCTCCACCTCCTCCTACTACCCCTCTCTTCCACCCTCCTCTTCTTCCTCCTCCTCAGCAGCACCTCTCCTCATCATCTACATCATACCACCGCCGCACACCACCACCATCATCACACACACAACCACCACAACAACCACCTACCACCCCCACACTCACAATCATCCATCATCATTCATCCATCAATCATCATTCATCATCATCATCATCATCATCATCATCATCATCATCATCATATCATCAGCTATCATCCCCCCCAGCATTAATCAGCATCATCATCAGCATCATCATCATCAGCAGCATCATTATCATCATTATCATCATATCATCATCATCATCAATCATCATCATCTTTCATCATTCATCAGCATCATCATCATCATCATTCATTCCTCATCATATCATCATCATCATCATCATCATCATCATCCTCATCATCAGCCATCATCATCATCATCATCATCATCATCATCATCATCGTCATCAGCATCATCATCACCATCATCATCATCATCATCATAATCATCGTCTTCATCAGCATCACCATCATCATCATCATCATCATCATCATCATCATCATCATCATCCTTATCATCATCACAACTACCACCACAATCACCCTCACCTTCATCATCATCATCATCATCATCAGCATCATCATCAGTATCATCATCATAATCAGAATCAGAATCATCATCATCATCATCATCATCATCATCATCAACATCAACATCACCATCAGCACCACAATCGTCATCATCATCATCATCGTCATCATCATCGTCATCATCATCATCGCCAGTAGCATCATCAGCAGCATCAGCATCATACTAATCAGAATCAGCATCATCAGCAGCACCATGATCATCAGCATCAGCATCATCATCAGCATCATCACCATCACCATCACCATCATCATCATCAGAGCATCAGCATCATCACCAGCATCATCCTCGGCATCATCATCGTCATCATCATCGTCATCATCATCGTCATCATCATCGTCATCATCAGCATCATCTGCATCATCAGCATCATCAGCATCAGCATTACCATCATCGTCAACATCATCATAATCATCATTCACCACCACCACCACCACCATCACCATCACCATCACCATCACCATCATCATCATCATCATCATCATCATCATCATCATCATCATCATCATCATCATCATCATCATCATCATCATCATAATCATGTACAGCATCATCAGCCTCGTCACCATCATTCAGGATCGCCCTCGTCCTCATCTTTGTCCTCCTCAACACCCTCCGTCGCTGTTGACCTCTTCGCGCCAGAGCATCAAGCCCGTCAGTAGGGAAACGAACAACATGGAACATGGCTGAATTCATTCAGAAGGCAAGGGAGGCCTCAGCAGCAGACAGCTGCACCACTGCAGAGGCAAGAACACCCCGAACGGTGCCCACGTCCTGGGGCATCCCAGCCACAGGGTACACGCGGCCGCTCATCACACCCAGAGTGGCAGTTCTGGACGCAGGACAGATCCCAGAAGCCCGCGACAGCAAGGGGAAGGGGCCGAGATCCAAAACGATCAAGGCAGGAGAAACGGAAAAAAGAGAAAAAAGAAGAAAACGAATGAGAAGAAGAAGAAAGAAAGAGAGAATGAAAAGAAGAAGAAGAAGAGAAGACGTTTCGAAGCGAACAGATAGAAGAAGAAGACTAAGAAGAAGAAGCATAAAGGGAACTAAAAACAAGAAAGAAAGGAAAAAGAAGTAAAAAAGAAACGGAAGAAGATGAAGAATTAAGAAAAAACAACGAGATAAGAAAAGAAAGAAGAAGACAGGACAGAATAAGAAGAAGAAGAACGGGGAAGAAGATAAGAAGGAGAGAAGAAGGAAGAAGAAGAATGGTAGGACGAAGAAGAAAGAAGGGAGGAGGAGGAAGAAGAAGAAGAAAAAGAAGAAGAATAAGAAGAAGAAGAATAATAATAAGAAGAAGAATAATAATGAGAAGAAGAAGAATAATAATAATAAGAAGAAGAAGAATAAGAAGAATAAGAAGAAGAATAAGAAGAAGAAGAATAAGAAGCAGAAGAAGACGAAGAATAAGAAGAAGAAGACGAAGAAGAAGACGAAGAAGTACGGAAATGAAGAAGAAGAAAGAATAAGACGAAAAAAGAAAAGAGAAGAGAAGAAGAAAACAGAAGAAGAGCATAAGAAGAAGACGCAAGAAGAACAACCCCTAAAAAACCAAGAACACCGTACTCCGTAAGAAGCAAGACGAAGAAGAATGCAAGGCATTCGCCATCATATCTCCGCGAGACGAATCGACGAATAATCCTCCGACTAAGCCGACTCTGCATCCCAGTCGCCGCACTCCGCATACATCCTACTCAGCCTTGACCTCCTCCTCATCCTCCTCCTCCGTCCGCCTCCTGTCATCCTGCCTCCCTCCTCCTCCTCCTCCTCCTCCTCCTCCTCCTCCTCCTCCTCTCCTCCGACTCCTCCCTCCTCCCCTCCTCCTCATCCTCCTCCTCCGCCGCCTCCTCCTCCGCCGCCGCCCTCCTCCTCCTCCTCTTATGTTTCGTATTATTAATCGTATTCGTCTTCTTATTCTTAGTATTATTCTTAGTATTATTATTATTATTATTATTATTATTATTATTATTATTATTATTATTATTAATATTATTATTATTATTATTATTATTATTATTATTATTATTATTATTAGTAGTAGTAGTAGTATTATTATTAGTAGTAGTAGTAGTATTATTATTATTATTATTACTATTATTATTAGTATTATTATTGGTATTATTATTATTATTATTAATATTATTAGTAGTGTTACTATTATTATTATTAGTGCTATTATTATTAGTATTAGTATTATTATTATTACCATTAGCATCAGTATTATTATTGCTAGTAGTACTACTATTATTTTTACTATTATTATTGTTATTAATAATACTAGTAGTAGTAGTAGTAGTAGTAGTAGTAGTAGTAATAGTAATATTAATATTAGTATTAGTAGTATTAGTATTACTATTAGTATTATTAATACTAGTACTAATACTGCTATTATCATTATTATAATAAGCATTCACAAAATTATTATTATTAGTAGTAGTATTAGTATTATTATTATTACTACTAGTATTATTATTCTTACTATTATCATCTTAATATTTTTATTCTTAGTAGTATTATTATTCTTATTATTATTATCATTATCATTATCATTATTATTACTACTACTATTAGTATTATTAATACTAATACTAGTATTTTTAGTAGTAGTGTTAGTGTTATTATTAGTATTCTTATTTTTATTAATACTGTTATTATTATTGCTAATCTTATTGTTATTAATAATACTAGTATTATTACTACTATTATGATTAGTATTATTATGGTTATTGATATTACTAGTATACGTATTATTCGTCTTGTTATTATTCGTCTTCTTCTTCTTCGTTTTCGTCTTCGTCTGCTTATTATTCTTCTTGTTCTTATTATTATGCTTAATCTTCAAATTGTTCTTATTATGAATATTATTATTATTAGTGGTATTCCTCTTATTCCTCTTCACCCTATTCCTCTTCTTCCTCCTTTTCCTCCTCCTCCTCCTCCTCCTCCTCCTCCTCCTTCCTCCCTCCCTCCTCTCCCCGTGTTCCTCCCCCCCCCCCCCCATCCCCCTACCCCCCTCCTTTCAATCCCCCTCTTCTTCCCCCCCTCCCCTCCCCCCCCCCTTTCCCACCCCCCCCCCCCACCCTCCTCCACCCCCCCCCTCCTCCCCCCCCCCTCCTCCTTCCTCCCTCCTCCCCTCCTCCTTCCCCTCTCCTCCTCCTCCTCCCTCCTCCTCATCCATCCTCCTCCTTCCTTTGGAGGAGGGCGCGAGCGGCGCACGGGACCTCGGCGAGCAGGCGCCCGCTCACCTCGGCGTCGGGGTTGTCCTCGCGCCCGCGCCGGCGCGAGGGGCGGCGCTGGCTGGGGGTTGGGTGGGCGCGCGCCCGGCGGACGGGAGCAGGGGGGTGGGGGATGTCGCCAGGGGGGGGGGGGGAGGAGGAGGAGGAGGGGATGAGGAGGATGAGGAGGAGGAGGAGGAGGAGGAGGAGGAGGAGGAGGAGGAGGAGGAGGAGGAGGAGGAGGAAGAGGAGGAGGAGGAGGAGGAGGAGGAGGAGTGACCAGGGAGTGACCAATGGGCACCACGTGCCGTCCCTCAAGGCCCCTGGAGTGCAGAAGGGCACGGGCCTTCGCACGACCAGGGCAGCACGCTCGGCGCAGGAGGAGCACCCTGCGCGCCAAGCCCTTCTGGCCCCGCTGGACCAACTCCTGCTGGATAGGCTGCGGGGTCGGCTTGGAACCCTCCTCCCAGGCCAAGGCACGGCCAGCCAAGGCACACAGCTCTTCGAACTTCTCCAGCGTCTAGGAGTCCTTCTTGTGGTCGCCTTCCTCGGCAACCGCCAGCTTCGCTGCTTCCGCAACCGCCACTTGCAGAAGTCGCTCTGTCAAGGCTCTGCGGGTCGCCCGACCAGCCACAGCACGGAGGACCGCCGAAACCTTCTCCTCCACCTGCGCCATGCCAGGGCGAAGGGACCGCGCGCCGCGCGGGGGGAACCGAGCCAAGAGCCAAAATGGCCACGGAGTAAGAGGAGGAGGAGGAGGAGGAGGAGGAGGAGGAGGAGGAGGAGGAGCAAGGAGGAGGAGGAGGAGGAAGAGGAGGAGGAGGAGGAGGAGGAGGATGGGAGGCGGAGGAGGAGTGGGCTGGAGGGAGGAGGGAGGGAGGGGAGGGAGGGAGGGAGGAGGGAGGATGGAGGAGGAGGGAGGAGAGGGGAAGGAGGAGGAGGAGGAGAGGAGGAGAGGAGGAGTATGCAGCAGGGGGGGGGAGGCAGGAGGAGAGAGGAGGAGGAGGAGAGGAGGAGGAGGAGGAGGAGGAGGAGAGGAGGAGGAGGAGGAGGAGGAGGAGGAGGGCGGAGGCGAGCGGAGGCGGAGGCGGAGGCGGAGGCCGAGGCGGAGGCGGACACGGAGGCGAAGGCGGAAACGGACAGCTCCAGGGAGGGGGCGCCATGAGGGGGGAGGGAGGGGGGGGGGAGATCGCAGGCCCAATACAGCAGAGCGCGATCGCCAAACGCGGCGCCCGCAGTCTGCGCGGACAAAGATGGGAGGGGAAGTGGAGGAGGGGGGACGGAGAGGGGGGGAGGGGATGATGGCGGGGAGAGGGGGAGGAGAAGGATGGAGGGAACGGGGAGGGTGGGGGGAAGGGGAAGAGGGGGAGGAGACAAGCTAGGTGCGCTCGCGCCTCATCTGACATCCTATCCCTCCCTCCCATCCCTTTTCATGGCGTTGACATTTCATGATCCGCGGACGCGTGTCATGAACGAACTGCGACCCCCACAAACAAAGCACTTCGGCTTATACGGAATCGGAAACAGGGGAGCTGCGTGCCCAGGAAGAGGAGGTGGCAGGTGAGAAGGAGGACGCGCGGGATGAAAAAAAGGATGATGACGAACAGCAGCAGCAGGAACTACAGCGGAATGATAGGGAGGATAATGAAGACCAGGGGAAGGCGGAGGAGGGGAAATGAGGGGGCGACAACGATGAAGAGACACTCGGATTCAGAAAAGTGACCCGCGCTGGGGCGAGACGAACAGCAGCAGCAAGGACTGGAGTGGAAAGAGCGGGAGGAACAGAAGGACCAAGGGAAGGCGGAGGAGGGGAAAGGAAGGGAACCAAGATGAAGCAAGGCTCATGTCCAGAAAAATGGCCCGCGCTTTAGCAAGAGCGGCATTCTGAACGACGGGAGCAAAGCACCGATCCGAAAACCAGGCCCCCGCTGCAGCGGCAACACCACTTTGACATACAGAAAAACAATCGGATTGCAAACAACGCCAAGAAACACCAACGCTTGAAACTCATGCAAGCTATGATATAGTAACAGCCCGCCTTGGTCGGGTTCTCGTTTTGAATAGAGAACTGTGGGTGTATCTCCCTCCTTCCGCCTCCCTCCCGCCTCCCTCCTTCCGCTCTCTCAGTCTCTCCTCGTGTCTCGTACCTCTCTCGTACCTGTCTCCGAGCTCGCCATCCCTGGGGGGGTGCGATCTGCGAAACTGTCGCCACTTTCAAAGGTTGCTTGAGGGGGCAAACACAATATAGCAATACGCGGACTCACACGAAACCTCGCCATCCCTGGGGGGGGGGCTGCGATCTGCGAAGCTGTCGCCACTTTCGAGGGCTGCTGGGGTAGCCAACACAGTGACGCCATACGCGGATTCAGATTCGACCTCGCCACCCGCGGTGGGGGGGGGCTGCGATCTGCGAAACAGTCTCAACTTTCGAGGGCTGCTGGGGGGGGGGTCATTACAATGACGCCATACGCTGACTCTGACTAAACCTCGTCATCCCTGGGGGGGGGGCTGTGATCTGCGAAACTGCAGCCACTTTCGTGGGCTGCGGGGGGGGGGGGGCAGCACAGCGGGTCATACCCAGAATCGGATTAGACCTCGCCCCTCCTTGGAAGCTACATTCTGCGAAACTGACACCACTGTCGGGTGCTGCTGGAAGGGGGGGGGGGCAACACAAAGGGGCATACCCGCATTCAGATTCGACCCCGCCACCCGTGGAGAGATGAGATCTGCGAAACCGTCGCCACGTTCAAAGGCTGCTGGAGCGGGCCGCACAATTGAGTCATACCCAGATTCCGACTCGACCTCGCCACCCTTGGGGGTTTGCGATGTGCAACACTGTCGCCACTTTCGAGGGCTGCTGGGGGGGGGGGGGGCAACACATTGACGCCATAAACAAACTCATATTAGACCTCGCCATTCCTGGGAGTCTGCGATCCTCGAACCTGTCACCACGTTCGAATGCCTAGGGGGGGGAGCACGCTGACGCCACACGCGGACTCAGATTCGACCTCGCCGACCTTGGGGGTCTGCGATCTACGAAACTGTCGCCACGTTCGAGGGCTGCTGAGGGCAACACAGAGAGGTCATACCCAGAGTCGGATTCGACCTCGCAATCACTGCGGGGCTGCGATTTGCGAAACCGTCGCCAAGTTGGAGGGCTGTTGGGGGGGGGGCAACATAGCGGGTACTAGACCCAAACTCAGACCGAAGGCAGCTGAGGGGGGCAGCATACTGGACATCCGCTGCATCCCTAGATTCGGCATTCGGGAGTTGCTGGGGGGGCGCGTTGTTTCCTTTCGAGTCAAAGAAACAACCGCCTCCATCAAGCCCTTGTCAATCGATCGGCGCTCTGTGAGTCGTGCAGCTTGGTGGCGAGCCTCTCAACTAGCGTTCGCAAGACAGAAAGGTCATTGCCACGCCATCCCCCCCTGTGAATCATTCCAAGCTCCTCTGGCCACACGTTGCGCAAGAGTTGGGTACATCGCCGAGATACGCAACATCCATAAATATACTTATACTCATGACTACATATACATGTACACACACGTGTGTACGCATGGGTGTATGCATGTATGTATGTGTGTTTGTGTGCGTGTAGTTATGCATGCATGTGGTAGTGTTGTATGTATGTATGCATGCATGTGTGGATGGATGTATGACTGGATGAATTTATGTATAGCGTATGCATGTATGTGTGCATGTATGTACGTATGTGTGCATATGCATGTATGCGTGTTTGCATGCATGCATGTATGCATGAATGCATATATGTATGGATTATACATGCATACATGCATGCATGCATGTATGGTTGCAATTGTGTATGTGTGTATGTACGGCTGTATGTTTGTGCTGATGTTATGTGTGCATGTGTATGCATGTTTGTAGGTATAAATCGATGTATGTGTGTATGCATGGATGGCTGTATGTATGTATGGAGGTATGTAGCTGCATGCGTGCATGTGTGTATGCATGTATGTATGTATGAATGTATGCATGCATGCATTGGTGTATGATGTATGTCCATGTGTATACACATGTATGTATGTACGCACGCACACACGTACGTATGTGTTTGTGTGCGTATACGCACGTACATGGCTACAAATGTATATGTATGTATATGCAGCTGCATAGTAGCATATACGAACACACACACACACACATGTGGATATATATATATATATATATATACATACATACATACATACAAACAAACATTTCTAAATCGATACATCCGTATGCATATAAAAGCACGCGGAAGGGGCGGGAGATCCCCCAGACAACTTGAAGGGAGGAGGGAGAAGAGTATTAAGATTGTTTGATTATGGGTGGAAGGAGGAGGAGGACAGGAAGGAGGAGGAGGAGGGAGGGGAAGAAAGGGGAATATCGCGACAATTCGGACGACAAGGTCATCCAGGCCCCCGGGCCGCACGTGCCAGGCAGGCCTTCCTCGCATAGCGGGAGGCGCTGCACATATAGCCGAGGTGGTGGGATGACCCCCCCTGGCGCGGTGCATTTGGCGTACGGCTGGACAAAATAGTCGGTCTGCGGCGGTCAGGCCACTCAAGAGCCCGTCTGCGCACACGTGGCTGCCAGAGACACTGGATTGAAGCACGCTTTGGAATGCGCTCCTCAGCGTTAGGTCGAGCATGTCCCCCTACAGGGGGATTTTGGACGGACAATAAGACGTACTCCAAACATGCTGGAAACTAATATAGTGAAAAATCGTCCCCATACTATTTTCTAACTCTTTTGGGATATTCCTCCTGCAGAGGGACAGGCTGGCCCGACTTAACCCCAGTGCCCGAAGAGCAAGGCGCCGCCCGGGGCATCCCCCGCAACGGCCCAAGAGCAGCAGCAGAGCAGCAGCTGCCAGGAGTATCGTGTAACCGATCCCCATCCCCAGCGGCGTGGCCTGGGCCCCACTGGCCGATTGACCCCCCTGGATGGGGATACAGGCCGTATTCTTCGGGTTTCGAGGGGTGCGTCCCCAACTGGGGTGGTAATTTGATGGGGTCTCGAAGGAGAAGAGCACGGGGATGGGGATCGGTCAAACGATACTGATGCCAGTTGTCAGCACTTCGCGCGCGAGCAGGGGGCAGACGGCACCCCCCCGCAGGGCGCCCAGCACTCCACCGTCCGCGCAGGCACGGGCGCCCCCCGCGCCGCGCGACCCCCCCGCCGACGGCGCCGGGGTTTGGCGTCGGTCGTAGGCGTCATCCTGCTTCCGCGGTGGGGCGGTGGGAGAAGGCGTGCCTTACCCTCGCGCCTGCAGCGCCGCGCACGGCGCCGAGAGTGTCGTCCAGGCAGGGAGTGCAAGCACACAAGCCGCATGCCAGAGTCAGCCGCGTGGTCCCGAGCAGGGAGCGTGGCATGGAAGGCCGCAGTGCCTGTGCACGGAGCCTGGGACACAGATCCGCAATCAACGTGTCGGGCCTGGTGGGGACCGTCATCCGCCGTCCCCGGGAGCATCTGCGATCGAGCCAAGTGAGCACCGAGCGCCCGATGTGCCCAAAGTGGAATGTCGCGACGGCCTGGCGAGAGCAGCGCCCCCCCCCCCCAGGCCGTGAAGAGACATTGGGGGGCATTGGTCTGGAGTACTGCGGTGTCGCCTCCTCCGGCAGGGGGGCCTGGTGGCCTCCGAGTTGATGAGGTTGCGCTGCAAGTTGGCAGCCGTCGCCTGAGTACCTTAGTGGCGCGGTGGCCTGGGTGCCGTCGTCGGAGGTCGAGCAGTCGATAGTCGGTCGTCGGCGGTCGTTCCATCGGTCGGCGGGCGGTCGTCGGCGGTCGTCGGGCGGTCGGTCGGCGGACGGTCGTCGGCGGTCGCCGAACAGTCGACACACGGTCGTCGGTGGGCGTCGACGCCAAACTGGCTAGAGTGCGGGCCTGGCGGCCACACTGCGGAACGCCTGTGAGAGTCGTCGGACACTCGGTGAAGGTGTCACGGTGAACCGCGGTGAGTGGGCTGACTGCTGTTTCGGCCTGGTGGTCCTCGCACGTGAGGTTCCTGAGACTCGGCGGACTTTCACTCGAAGAGTAACTGCGAACTGCGCTAAAAAGCATGGTGAAATTCAGCGTCGCGATGCGGTCGCCGGGCACTGGTCTGTCGGTCGGCGGCGGGGCGTCGAAGAGCGTTCGTTGCAGGGGGGGGGGCAGCTGTCAAGCTGGACGCACGCAAGTATGCGATGTTAGCGCTGGTCGGTTGGACCATCCGCCACCAGTGTTGCCCCCCCGTTCGGCCAACAACGACGCCGCGGTGGTCGTTGGTGGGTTTGCGCTCCTGGCTGCTGTCCGTCACTTAAGTACCTTCGCGAATGCGTGGTGGCACGCGCGTCGTCGTCAGAGGTCGATCGGCCGGCAGTCGGTTGTCGGCGGTCGTTCTGGCGGTCGGCGGACGGTAGTCGGCGGTCGCTGGACGAACATGGGCACCCACGCGAGGACAGGCTGGAGTGCAGGCCTGGTGGCCTGGAGCACGAGTGAGGCTCGGCGGACGCTCGGCGGAGCTGTCACGGAGGGACCGCGGTGAAGGAACCGCCTGCTGCTTGGGCCGGGTGGCCCTCGTGGCTGATCCTGAGAGTCGGCGGACGCTCTCGTGAAGGGCCACTGCGAACTGCGCCGTGGATCGTCGTTCGGTTCGGCGGGCAGTCGTCGGGCGTCGGCGGACCGTCGTCGGCGACAACTGGGTCGGCGGACGGTCGACGGACGTCGTGGGGTCAGTCGTACGTCGACCCCACGACGTCGGGGGTCGATGGACGTCGCCGATATGCTGATATCGTGTGAGTGGACGGTCGACGGACGTCGTCGACAACTAGGTCGGCGGACGGTCACGGACGAGTGGACCCTCGCAGCTGATATCCTCGGGGGTGGGCGGCCACTCACACGGAGGGCCACAGCGGATTGCGTCAGGAGGGACAACGCGAAGTTTGGCTGGAGTGTTAGCCTGGATGGCCAAGCAGAGCAGCACCGCAGGCGGGTGGTCTGGTTGTAGTGTGGCTCTTGTGGCTCTTGTGGCCCTTCTGGCAGGCGCCAGTGGTAGTCGTCGGACTCTCAGGTGGGGGGCCCGGGTGGACAACGACGTCGGGGCTGGGCACATGGCGGCTTCCCTACGCTGCGGGCGGAGGGGCTTCGGCTTGCAGAGCGTCTCGGAGGTCGCGTGGTGCTTCTGGCAGGTGGTCCCGGTGATCCTGCAAGTCTCCATGAGGAGCGCCGCGAAGCGGATGATAGTCACACTGGCCGGCGGGGGGGCCTCCGATTTCAGCGCGAAGAGAGCGGATATCGTTGCGGACAACACGAAGATAGGCGCGGAGCGCGCGGAGCTCATGCACTGGGAGTTACTCGTGAATCTCAACAGGCCGACCAGGAGGATCAAGGGCAGGTGGATCAGGAAAGGCCCGGTCGTCGAGCACGGGGACTCGAAAGAGTTAGTTCCCGCGCTGGACGAACCGCACACGCAGCGCAGGACGTAGTATCCGAACTTGGGGGCGCGAAACGCTGCACACGGCAACTGCCACCCTCCGCAGTCGGGTACGCCGTGGCGCTGAAGAGGTCGCGCGACCCGGGACGGGGCCAGCGGGGTCGGACGGCGCTTCGGTCCTGGTGGACCTACCGAACTTCCGACCGCCGGTGTCTCTGTGGTCTCGCTTGAATTCGCGCTGGGCGCTACCCTGGTCGGTGAACCCGTAGGGTTTGGCTGTGGCCGCAACGATTGAGTCCACGGCCATTTGGTGGCAGCTACCCCTTCCGATGCAAGCGAAAGGTAGATGACCACGTAGTTCCAGGGTTCCTCTGTCGGTGCAGAAGTCGCCAGCGCTCCTGCTGGCATCGGAGGTTCACAGTGAGGCCCTGGCACATGTTTCCCGTGGATGCTGATGGTATGTGAGGCCCAGCGATCGGCCGTGCGAAGCGAAGGTGCGATGGGCACGTCTGAATCCGGTACACAACTGCTGATTAGAGGAGTGGCGCCGTTGCCCTGGTGGGCGCCAGCGGATGTCGTGGACCCTGCTGATGACAGGAGTGGTGCCATCTTGTGCTTCTGACAGCGGTGCAGCTTGATGTCGTTGATCTTATTCTCGCGCAGTGTCATCAGCGCGCCCCTGGGCCTACGCTGGTCGGAGCGGCGCTGCCGGTATGTGCTGTCAATATCGCCTTGATGTCTGTGAGCAGGCTCTTGTAAGCAGCGGCTGCTCGGTCGACGCCACCTCTGCTCAGGAGTACGGCGGCGCAGGCTTCCTTTGGGCTGAGGTCGGTGTCCCTTGCTTGGTGCAGTGCCTTGGGCTGCGGCGGCATGTGACGTGCACGGCGAGGACTCTCTTGAACCTGTGCGTGCGCGGGAATCTGTAAGAGGACGTGGTACGAATTGATCCTGTGATGATGGCCACAGGTCCAGTCTCGCCATGCTATCTATGGAGTGCTGGGGGCTGCGAATCTTGGCTGCGCCCTGGGTCCGGAGACCCTCGAGCCGAGACTCGGGAAGAAAGGGGGAGAAGAGGGGAAGCATGGAAGGGGGATGGCAGGAGGACCTGATCTGTTACAGAATCAATGTGCCGCACCGAAGGGTCCTGGCTGGGCCTGCAAAACTAGGCGCGAGCTCTGGAACTTGGGCTCGTGGGCACCCCACTCCCGCCCCGAAGTGGGCCCGAAATCAGGATTGCTGGCGTGTGGGCGCACGCCCGTAGCATTGCTCTGCGTTGCTTTGCAATGATTCGCGGTGCTTTATCGTGATTTGAACTTGACGCGGGCCCCTGGAGCTCACGACCCCATCCCGGGGAGTCTGGGAAACATTTCCATCGTCCCGAGGCCCGAAAGTGGTCTCCAGAGTCCACTGCCCGTCGCGATACGTTCTGTTCGCGAGGCTGAAGGTTGGGGCCCACTGCCCCTCCTCCTCATCACCCTCCTCCCTCTTTTTTTTTTTCTCCTTTCTCCAAGAGGAATCCTCCATCCCTCTCGTCCCCTGGCCCTGAGATGCCCCCCGCCCCCGACAGAAAACTAGATCATCGGTCGTCCTCTGACGAGCGGCGCTCCTTCTTCGTCACTACGTTGAAGGCGTGCTTGAGCAGCCCCAAGTACTCTGCCCAGAGCAGCCCAGCTCGCCAGTCCGTGCCCAACATGTCCACCGTGCGCTGGGCGGGCCACGGAGGAGAACGAGGAGAACGCGAGGATCGACGACGGAGGAGAGCTGGAGGAGAGCTCGAGGACAAGAAGGGATCGAGGATCGAGGATGGAGGAACGCTCGAAGATAGAGGACAAGCAGGGATCGACCTGGCGGGATGGCCAGGAGGGGCCGAATCGCACAGCAACGCGGGGGACCTCCCCGGGACCGTACGCCCTCGGGACATGCAACGATAGTTCGACGGCCACATGTTGGTCAGTCCTCATCGTCCTCCTCATCGTCCTCCTCCTCCTCCTCCTCCTGGTCATTATCCCTTCTCCTCGGCCTCATCATCCATCATCATCGTCATCATCATCATCATCATCATCATCATCATCATCATCATCATCATCATCATCATCAGCATCATCATCATCATCATCAGCAGCAGCAGCAGTAGCAGCAGCAGCCGCATCATCATCACCATCACCATCAGCATCAGCATCATCATCAGCATCAGTATCGTCATCATCATCATCATCATCATCATCATCATCATCATCATCATCATCATCATCATCATCATCATCATCATCATCATCATCATCATATCATCATCATCATCATCATCATCATCAGCATCATCATCATCATGGTCATGATCATGATCATCATCAGCATCATCATCATCATCATCATCATCATCATCATCATCATCATCATCATCATCATCATCATCATCATCATCATCATCATCACCATCATCAACATCACCATCATCATCATCATCACCATCATCATCATCATCAGCAACGCACACAGCATCATCATCAGCAGCAACCATCATCATCATCATCACATCAGCATCATCATCAGCATCATCCAGCATCAGTATCATCATCATGATTCATAATAATAATTCATCATCATCATCATCGCATCATCATAATCATCATCATCATCATCATGGACAGCATCAGCATCAGCATCATCATCATCATCAGCATCATCATCATCATCATCATCATCATCATCATCATCATCATCATCATCATCATCATCATCATCATCATCATCATCATCATCATCATCATCATCATCATCATCATCATCATCATCATCATCATCATCATCATCATCATCATCATCATCATCATCATCATCATCATCATCATCATCATCATCATCATTATCGCCATCCCCCTCCTCCTCCCTCTATTCTCTCCTCTTCCCTTTCTCCTCTTCCTCTTCGGCGACTCGGGGCCAGTCCACGGGCCGCTCCTGTGGGGCAGCCGACCCCCCCCCTTCACCCCCCCGCCCCGCAGGGAGGAAGAACGTTGAGGAGGAAGGACGAGGAAGGAGGAGGAAGCATACGAAGGGGACGCATATGGGGGAGGAGAAGGGAGGGAAGGAGGAGGAGGCATAGGAGGGGAGCAGGGAGCAGGGGAGGGGAGGGAAGGAAGGAAAGGATGAGGGAAAGGATGAGGCAGGGAGGGGAAAGGAAGGATGGAGCGTGGGAGGGGAGGGACGGACGCAGCAGAGAGCAGGGAGCAGGAGGAGGAGGTGGAGGCGTGGGAGAAAGTACAGAGAAACACAAAAACAAGAACGCGAGGCAGGAGGAACGGAAGGAACAGGGAGGAGGAGGAGGAGGAGGAGGAGGAGGAGGACGAGGAGGGACGATGAAATGATGCGAGAGGAAGAGGGGACAGCACGCACCGCCACAACATTCAGCGCTCGCTGGAAAGATGCGCGCCACACGGCCCTGCATGGCAAGATCTCTGTGATCTGAGGTCAGGCTTCGACCAGATGGCGTTACCAAAAAGAATGAGTTTATAGAGATACGAACAAACACACCCTTGATGTGTGGAACTGAAGTTTGCATCTTTCAAGTCATCAACATCGGATGAAAATGAAACGCGTATTGACATTAGTACCGACCGGTACCCCTGCCGCACTGACAGTATTACATGCAGATGCGTCTCAAGAAGGAGCAACTTCCTGAGCACTGCAAATTCATCCACTGCTTGAAACGCTCAAGACAAATTTGCGCGCAGCACTAAGCCATGGGCAACTGAACAGTAACAAGTGAAGTGAAGTGAAGTGAGTTCGCACGGCAGCGCAGCGCGCCGCGGCGCGGTCCTTGAAGGACCTCACACGAACGCCTTCCCGTCAGCGATGAGAGACTCCAGCCGATCAGTCCGGCGCTTTGCTGGGTGGCCCCGGCTTCGAAACTCATCTAGGCCATTTGGACATTAACAAGAACCGCACTAAAAGGATAACTTGAAAACAATCCGCCAGCAACCACTGTAACTGTTGGAAACATCCAATACACAGAGGCGCAAGACTTGAACGCGAGCCACAGATTGAAGACCGACCACCTTAACAGATTTGCAAGAGTTGGAAAACCTCAGCCATTTGACTGTGACTTCTGGGGGACTTGCAGGCCAAACGCCCGCACCCTACCAACAAATCTTGATGCGACGAGAAGGCTTTGACGACAAGGAGGGAAGCGGACGGGGAGCAGGCGACAGAGGAGGAGGAGGAGCGAGCGCGCGAGCGAGCGAGCGCGCCTCAAACAGTCAGAGACTGGCCGCAATCGAGGGGAGGGCGGCAATCAGGCTGCGTGCAGGCAGGCGGGCCCGCCTACGGCAACCGACTCACGAGTCCGCCGGTCCCCTGGTGGGGCCACCAGGCTGCAGGCCGAAGTGTGCTGCTGCCTGCACCGGTTGCAGCTTCAAGTCTCCAGGGTTACAGTCCTGCCTTCTCCTTCCTACTGTATACTGTTGGAAGTCTGCGCGAGGGGGGGAGCTCCAAACCGCCCAGTCTAGCACGTCCGGATCGCGTGCTCTGAATTCTTGGGGGGGCGTGGGACATGCAAATACGTGAGACCCGCGCCCCCGAGGCCATAACCCCTCGTAAATTACACGAGCATTGCGTCCCCGAAGCAAGAAACCCAACCTTTGCAAATTATGCCGTCGCATTGCCGAGGCCAAGAGTGCTCCAAGACGCCCGAAAATGGTTCCAAGACGGCCCAAGAGGGCCCCAACAGGCTCCAAGAGCGCTCCAAGAGGCCTCCCAACAGAGCACTAAGAGGCCAAAATCGTCGATGCTACTAAGGTTTTGAAGGTTTTTGGCCTTCTCGCAGTTTCGGCTTTCCGACGCTCCAAGCAGGCTCAAGAAGCTCCCAAAACCGCCACAAGACAGCCAAAGGGGCCTCCGAGAGAGCTCCAAGACGGGCCAAGAGGGCTCCAAGATGGCCCAAGAAACACCCAAGACGGCCCAAGAGGGCCCCCAGACGGCCCCAAGAGGGGTCCAAGAGGGGCCCAAGAAGGGAACCACGAACCGACAATTCTATATTTGTGCCCCGAGAAGCCCCCAGGAGGGCCCAAGAGGCCGCCAAGAGGCCCAAAGAGGAGCCCAAGAAGCCTCCAAGAAGCTCAATAAGATCCCCCGCGAGGCCCCAAGAAACACCCAAGAAGCTCCAAAACCGCCTCCAAGAAGCCACCGAGAGGCTCGACACACACACACACACACAAGAGGCCTCAGACCCACAACCCAGGTGCGGTGGCAGGATGGGTCGAAGGTCACTAGGATCCGCCGCCACCTGCTGGCTTGTCACAAAACTTGTCCGGCGTGCTAGACCCTTTCGGTTTTCGGCCACCCGGAAGGGTGCATAAGAGGTGGTTGCAAAGGTTGTTCGTGCTGCAGACGGCTCCAAGATGGCCCAAGATGGACTCCAAGACGGCTACGATGGCCCTCAGAATTCGCTCAAGGTGGTCCAACATGATCTCCAAGACTGCCAAAGAAAAATCCAATATGCCTCCAAGTTCAGCCAGGAAGCCTCCAAGACGGTCGGAGACGGCCCCAGAGGCCCCCGAGAGGCCTCCCAGCCAAAAGGCGTCCAAAAGGTTCGTTAGGAGGGCCCGAAGAGACTAAAATCACTGATTTTTCTTGAGTGCTTGAAGGATTTGGGCATTTGCTCCTTTTCGGCCTTCCGACGGACCAACACAGCCCAAGAGGCCCCCGAGATCGCCCCCAGAGCCCCCAAGAGGCCTCCAAGACGGCCTCAGGCCTGCCCAAGAGGTCACCAAGACGGCCCCAAGAGGGCCCCCCAAGGGGCCTCTAAGACGTTCAAGCCTCCAAGGCGGCCCTGGAGCACCCCAAGAGGGCCCCAAGTCGGCCCAGAGAGGCCCCCAAGACGGCTTCCGACGGCGTCAGACGGACGAGGAGCCCACCAAGATGGCCCAAGATGGCTCTCAGATGGCCCAAGACGGCGCCAGAGGCTCCAAGAGGGCCTCCAGAAGGCCCCAAGAAGCCAAAATTATTGATTTCCCATAGGTTTTTGGAAGGATGGTGGCAGTTGCTTCCTTTCGGCCTACCGACGGCCCGAGACGGCCCACGAGCCCCCAGAGATCGCCCAAGAGGCCTCCAAGATGGCCCCAGAACGGCCCAAGAGGCCCCCAAGACGACCTCTTGGGGGCCTCTTGGGACGTCTTGGGCCATCTTCGAGCCATCTGGGGCCGTCTGATGGCCACTCCGGGCCGACTTGGGGCCCTCTTGGGATGCCCCAGGGCTATCTTGGAGGCCATCTTGGGCGTCTTGGAGGCCTCTTGGGCCTTCTTGGGGTCCTCCTGGTACCGTCTTGGAGGCCTCTTGGGCCGTTCTGGGGCCTTCTTGGAGGCCTCTTGGGCAACCTTGAGGCGATCTGTGTTGGTTCTTGGGCCGTCTCGGGTCGTCGGAAGGCCGAAGAGAAGCAAATGCCAAACAATCTCTCAAAAACCTTTGGAAAATCAATGATACTGGAGAAAAAAACAAGTCAAAGTCATTTCAGGGATATAGGGCCATGGGGTTATAGGGCTGTTGGGTTTTAGGATTATAAGGTTGTAAGGCTATAAGGCTATAGGGCTATAGAGCTCTAGGGCTCTAGGGTTCTAAGGCTATAGGGCTATGGGGCTGTAAGGTTATTGGGCTATAGGACTATAGGCAAATAGGGCTATAGGGTTATTGGGCTATAGGGTT